TCTGTGGTCATGTGGCCGGCATGACTACAAGAAAACAAAAATAAAAATCCATTCCACCTAAGTATAGACCATGCATGCAGTTTTTACTCTTGCATCTTTAAAAAAACATGTATAAAATAATGTAGCAACAATGAACTCCCATTCTTGAAGAAATTGTTTGACATAATTTCCCGGTAGTTTTCCATCTTAAGTAATTTCTCAGGGTGTACATGGTATGATTAAACCCTCACCTGGCAATCGTATGCATCCATTAATGATGTTCTTTCATTGAGTTAAACATATTAATTAAGAGAAGGCCCTCACTAAGAGCTGATTCCCTGATCTGTATGCACAGTTTAATAATAATCATACTGTGTGATTAGAATGATTATGGGGACACTGTGAAAAATTCATTTGCTGTGAGTAAGCCAACAACTTTGCATCTGTGTTGAGAAACAATTATAGAGCTTAATTGGGAGCCATGTAATGATGACAGCAGTTATTTCAGTGATTGATTCTGAAATTAAAGTGAGCTGGCAAATTAAACACCAATATACCCAGGGCTGGAGAACTAAGAGGAGCTTTTGGGTCCAGAGGGTGTGCGTTCTACATAAGTTTAAATAGATGTGGGAGAAATGCGTACTGGGATCTGGATGTTAAAGAAGACCTAACAGGTCCACCATCCCTGACAAAAATTTGAAAGAGGCTGTAGGACTTGAATGATATGGCCAATATTATAATCAATAACAGCCAGTAAGAGCAACGTGTTGCAGACAGCTTCAAATGGCTTAATGTTACAGCATAAAGCAGAAGGAATGTTCTTTTTTAAAAAAAAGCCACCTAAATAATTTATCACTGCAGTCTATGTAATCAAATTGATCAGATATTTGATCAATCTGCACTCACCGTTTGATGCATGTAGCTCCCTACTATTTCTCTCCCTCTCCCTGCTCCCTACCATTACTCTTTTTCTTTGCTGAGATCTTTTTCTTTTATTGTACATGAATATCAACCCACATAACTAATAATTGTATAAAGATGCTTTGTACACTGGGCAGCTCTTGTCAGCTATTTTGCAATCGATGCAAAAGACAGAATCCCTATTGATGTTTTGTTTTCAATGCACTGTTTGTGTCAACAGTCTCAATGTCATTAGGGTTTCTGGACCTTCAGATGTCTCAAGAAAGAATTCTCCAAAGTTCTAGAAATCCTAATGACCTTGTAATCAGCCAAAGAACCATTACTAATGAAGATGGCCAGTTGTCCCCCTAGTTGTCCAGATGTGACCTTGCCACTATGATTTGTGCAATGGTAACCTCCAGAATAGATTACTGCTATTATCTCTATGCAGGGCTACCCTTGAAGGCACTTTGGAAACTTCAGGTTATTCAGAATATGGCTGCTAGGCTGTTGACCAATTCACTGTGGGTTGCACATATCCAGCCCATTTTTCAGCAATTGCACTGGCTTTCAAATGGTCTCCAGGTCAAATTCAAGGTGCCAGCATTAGCCTTTAAAGTCCTAAATGGTCTGGGACCATCGTACCTAAAGGACCACCTCTCCCATTCTGACCCCCTCCAAGGTGTCTTCATTCTGCTGCAGGTGAGCTTTTGGTGGAGCCTGGCCCTCAAGTTGCCCAACTGAGTGTAACAAGGGCAAGAACCTTTTCCATCATGACCCTGACCTGGTGGAATGCTTTGTCTGAAGAGACTCATGCCCTGCAGGACTTGCCTGCATTCCACAAGGCATATAAGACACAGTTCTGCTACCAGGCATTCCACTAATGTAATTTCAGTGGGATCTACCATCAACACTGTTGATTTTTTTTAATGCCAAAAGCTGTGCAATGAGTTTTAATTGGATTTTATTGAAATTATAGTTTTATTATTGTTTTTGTACTGTCATGTTGCTAGTGGCCCTGGACCCCATTCTGGGGGAGGGATAAAAACCTATATAAATAAATCAGTCAAATTATTATGGCTGTTTGGAAGTTAAAATTATGGATAAGATTTCCCCCATCTCATTTTACTGTGCTTTAAATTCCACCCCTCATAATTTTCAGGTTATGTAGTAAAAAATAAAATAATATATTTATTTAAGCAGTTTTAGACTGCTCTCCCCCCCCCCCCGGCACCCCAAAATATTTTACAGTCTCACTGATTAGTTAAGTTCTGAGAGGGAGTACTGAATATAAACAAGAGAAGCCAGAGGCCAAAGAGCAAGAAGGAAGGACTGAAATAAGCTTATAGATAGGGCTGCCACCTTCCAGGTAGGACCTGGTGTTCCACCAGAATTACAACTGATCTCCAGAGGCCAAGACCAAGAGAGTTTGCACTTGTATTCCATCTCATGAGTGCAAAGAACCCTGGGTGAGGATGAGTTGCTTGACTCTGAGCACTTATTAGCCACAGAAGTATGTGGCATGTGTCTTGGTAGCACACTTGATTGGCCAAAGAGTATCATGCCAGTTCCCTTGCTTGAAAGCCAGTCGAATCCGACTCTAGGGTTGCGGTGCTCATCTCCGTTTCAAAGCGGAAGAGCCAGCGCTGTCCGAAGACGTTTCCGTGGTCATGTGGCCGGCACGACTAAACACCAAGGTACACGGAACGCTGTCACCTTCCCACCGAAGTGGTACCTATTTATCTACTTGCAATTTCTTGCTTTCGAACTGCTAGGTTGGCAGGAGCTGGAACTAGAGATGGGAGCTCACTCCATCATGCGGCACCCGGGTCTCGAACTGCTGAACTACTGACCTTCCACAGCCTGCAGTTCAGCATCTTAACCACTTGAGCCACTGCTTTAGTCCTGCCAGTTGTGGACAGTGGGGCATAAAGGAAGATCTTTCATTCTACTTTGGAGTCTCAGGTCTTTTGGATCCTTTTGCTGCTTCTAGCCATATTTGACTAGGTTGGGCCTTGCATCACTGGAATACTTGCTGTAGGATTTTGGACTTTGAAACTTAATCTGGACTCCGTGTCTGGTCAGGTAACATCTGGGTCAGAGGACCAAAGCCTGCATTAGTATTTTAGGTTAGCTAGAATTTATTATTTTCTTTCCTTGTTTTGTAAATGAAAGCAAAGCCTGCATTAGAATTTTAGGTTAGTTAGAATTTATTATTTTCTTTCCTTGTTTTGCAATATTCTTATATTTGTATACTCTTTGCCAGAGGTCATTTTTTGGGGGGGAACGCGGGGGAACGCAGTTCCCCCGGATGAGGTGCAGGGGGGGCAGGGCACATGATGAAGCCCCGCCCCCTGCTTCCAGCCGCCCCGCTTCCAGCCCTCATTCAGCCAGGAGGAGGCAGGAGAATAGGGAGGGGTAAGTTGCTTCCTCCCCGCCTCTCCCCACCCCTGCCTGCCTGGGGCCAGGGAGGGCCTTGGCAGGGCTTCCTCGCACTCCCGCTGGCCTTGCAGGTCCACCGCCGGGCCCCTGATGTCAGGGGGTGTGGCATATGCTAATGAGTTATGCTAATGAGTTTCCCTAGCTCTTTTTCTACGAAATGACCCCTGCTCTTTGCTCATTTCTTTTAATAAATCTTATTAATTATACTTCTGTGGTGTTATTTGGGTTTTGGGGCTTCAGTCTAAACCCAATACCTTGGCCTACATTGGCTACAGCTAACACAGTAATTGTTTCTAAGACTCAACTTGTAAGTGCCCTACCTTGTAGGGTTGGTTTCTTGATCAATACCCAGTAGGGCTGGAGAGACTGCCCCTTGGTTTCCTAGCTGGAGGGTTAGTCAGAAAAGCTAATGATGGCTCTTTACTCTAGGCAATGAGGATTTACTCCCCAGCATTTTGTGTTTTGCTCTTGCATAACCTGTCACTATCCCTTGACAGAATGTAACTTATCTTAGAATGGCTTGGTTAGACTCTGAAACTGGAAGGGAGAAACCAAAGGAAAGCTAACCTTCTCTCCCTCTCAAGAGCAAGGATCATGACAGGGCAAATATTGCAAGTAAACTGAAAAATGGAAAGTTCTGCACAGATCATGCAATTTAGAATTAAAAAAAAATCAGAATAATGGCATATTCCCAACGTATAGAGTTTGCTTCAGAAACGTAATCAATGGAATTGCAAAATCCATAGAGAAGTTTGGATATGGAGACTTCTGGAAGCTTCCCAAATGACTATCATGTCAGTGGGTAGAGTACGCTATACCCTTCTTTAAAATGGATTTTTGGCCTCCAGATGGTAATAATTAACCCCCCTTTCTGCTGAAAAGCTGGTTGTATTCAACCCACAAACTTTAGTAGTGCAGGGTACAAGTAATGAGTTTCCAGATTTAATACAACAAACAGTTAATTCACAAGAGTTTTCTATTACTGTAGCAAATATGATTACCTATAAAACACAATTTATTTTGACATTTGTAAATAGCTGAGATATGTTGCAGACACGATTCATTTTCTCCTTTACTGGCTAACAGAAACAAATCATGTTTTAAAATAACAGTGTTACCATTATTACATTATCAATCTCAAACTAGTAGTATAAACATCCCCTTTCTGCTTTCTTCCTGTCCTTTGAAGTATAATCTGTTCTGATTTATATCTCTAAAAGTATAGCCATAAGCAAATGTATTACATCACTTGCAAAGGCCATGAAATATTTTCAGGTTTTCTCTCTCTGTGTCATGTGTGTGTCTGTTTGTACACACACACACATATATACACAATCTAACAATCTGCAGTCACACCATCATCTATAATGCCATTTGGATGTATGGCTTAGTTCGTATGAATAAGTTATAATTATTTTTGGAGACATTTGGATGCTTGCCTAGGATATACCATTAAAAAGGGATTTTTTTTCAAACAGTAAAATCTACAGTAGAATTTACAAGATGGATATAAAAATCAGTCTGCTGTGAAATATGGTATGATATTCTAATATTTTAACCATGCTTTTATTATCGCAGGTATGTTACAGCACGCTATTTAAAATAGAGCTGAAAAGACCCTGTAAATTATAAGCATAATTTGATTTTTCTCCCCTCAAAGGTGGAAGCAAAATGGCACAGATATTGATCTTACCATGAATTATCACTACAAGCTGGTTGGAGGCAGCCTGGCAATCAATAACCCAGACAAAAACCTGGATATTGGAACCTACCAGTGTTTGGCCACAAATTCATTTGGAACCATTCTCAGCAGAAAAGCAAACCTGCAGTTTGCATGTGAGTGTTGGAATCTCATGTTTTATTTATCTTCTATTTTCAATTATTTTGTGTTCTGAAACCAATTTATGAGGTAATTAAAATATCAATGAAATTTGCCGTGAAATGGTCATCATTATTTACCTTTTTCACGTTCAATCCCAATGCCTTTTCCTGTAAACAACAATAATGAAGCTGATGTCCATGGTCCTTGCAATGTGTAATAATTATCTACAGATGACAGAAAAGGTCAAGAAAGATGAATACAATTACTTTGTGTTTAATAGACCCACTACTACCTTTTTTGTGTGTGGGGGACATTGTTCATGGTCAAGTTCCTATTTGCCAGTTTGTCTGTTCCATACCCAGCTGTAGGTTGGAAATGAAATAATTGCAAAAGTATAATGATGTCCAGCAGAGTCGCAGAAATGTCACACACCATAATTACCTTACTGACATTTAGTTACATTAACAGACATCTACACCTCCTTGTATTTGCTTTGTAATTGGCATGGCTTTGTTGTACGCACCTTACCTATGCAGCTGCCCCTTAAGTACAGCTGTGTGTGTGTGTGAATCCCTTGAAACCAATAATAAGATCTGTTTTTCCCCACCTTGTTCTTTTTTTTACTGGGTTGCAGAACCTGTAAAGGAAAAAGCCAATTCATTTCCTGCAAACCGAACCCAGTGGGTCAGAGGCCAGGTAATCATAATAATAAAAGCATTGGTAACAAACTACACTTCACTTATGGAACCCAGGCTTTCTCGCTTGTCACTGTGAAAGCCCCATGTTCTTCTGAAGTTCCATTTCCAGAGTAATGAGAAGGAACTTTGGCCTGTCGATCATTGCCTCTGACTTCCACTGCAACACTAAACAGAGGAACCCTCTTCTAAGCTCTTTGATGTCAATGGATTTAGAAGGGTGTAACTGTGTTTAGGATTGCATTGTTAGTATCCCCATGTTTTTGACAGGTGCTTGTGTGAATTTTTTTCTTTGAAGGCTTCTTGGGAAAAGCTGCATGTTTTCCTTCTTTTCTTCCCCCACCCCCGTATAAAGGTCTGGGCTTGCTGCTGCACTAAGAGAGCAATTGTTTTTAATGCTCATTAATAAAAGATATTTCTAAAGCCAGCCTTCTGTAGCTGTTTCAGACATCAGTAGAGGTATTAATTATTAATCCCTTTCCATTCCTATTGCAAATCTGTTGTCATGGAGGTCATGCAAAGGAGACAACAAAGGTTATGGGTGGTTCATAGACACATTTTGTGTAAAGATGAACATTTTAGCCTATTCCTACTATGGTTGATACCTGTTTCCTATTGAATTTCTGAGCATGCTGACTTCTATGTTAGGTCAGGGGAAATCTCCACCCCCTCAGGTTCTTGCTTAGGATATTACAATAAGGTGTTTAATTCTGATCATCTGTAGTTTCAAAGGCCATCTCATTTTTGTGTGTCAATAGGTGGGTTGATTTATAGATACTCTTTACTACAGAACACCAACAATCTCTTAGTGACATTTTTGCTCTGCTTTATTATATGACAAAAGCTCAGGGACTGTAATTGTCACTTTTAGGAGGGGGAAGCTGACATCTCTAGGGCCCATGTTTGTGAACACAGGACTATGACTGAGTTAGAGACTCTCTATTTGAATGTGAGCCCTTTAGGTAAGGCATTTTTTCTCCATTAGGGTTATTTTACCCCCCTTTCCTCTCCATTGTCCTCCTTCTATTAAGATGAAGGCTCCTTCTGCTAGTCCTTGGGTCTACTATGCCCTCAAGTACTCCTGAAGTACCAATATGAGGGAGGTGAAGTTCCTCTTTTCCTCTTCTCTGATTCCCCTTCTCAGAGAAGGGTGTATTTCCAGTTAAAGAAATAATTTCCCAGCCTTTTGGCTCACCTATTTGCTGTGCCCTCAAGCAAGGCTTCTCCCATTTACTGCAGCTTAAGACCTCTGGCACATCATGTCCTGCCTCCTCCTCCATAGCCAAACTTCACCTTCCACCTCTACTAAGACTCCTTTTACCATAGAATGCAGATAGCTAATTTCATCACAGAGTATCCCAGGCCACAGGGAAAGGATTTCCACTCCTCAGCCTTGGGACACTGTATCACAAGTCACAAGGCTGGTGCTTCACCCATTTTCATGTGGATATAAAGAAGAGAGAGAGAGAGGAAGAGAATGGATTTATACCCACCCTTCACTACCCAAAGGAATCTCAGAGTGGCTTACAATCCTTTTCCCTTCCCCTCCCCACAGCAGACACCCTATGAGATAGATGGGGCTGAGAGAATTCTGAGAGAACTGCCCTTGAGAGAGCAGCTCTGAAAGAATTTGTGAATGGCCCAAGGTCACACCAGCAGCTGCAAGTGGAGGAGTGGTGGATCAAACACAGTTCTCCCAGATTAGAGTCCACGGTCCTAACTACTACACCAAAAATTCCTAAGAAACTTTGCTAGTCTTTATGCAACACTTTAGATTTTCTAAAAGAGACTTAGAGTTTTTCCTAGCCTTCATATTTTGTTTCAGTTGAAGGTGGTTCTCCGGTCTTAATGACTTTGCCTACTGTATGGAGAGTTTCTTTAAACTCCCGTCAGGACAGTAGATGACACCCACAACATAGCTTGACTAACAGTCAATGCTTCCGGGGTCCCAAGTGGAGTTTTGCAATACTCTGTCGGTTGGAGCTGTCCAGTACTGAATTTCCCCCTCTCTCATTCTAACAGCCTTGCCAATATTTGCCTCTAAGCACATTATATGATGACCACAGTTCACACAGTCAGAGCTGTTAAATATTACAGCAGGGTTGCGGAAAACTCATAACAGAAAAGTCAGTTTCCATGGTGATGGTAATTATAATATGTAGACCAGTGCAAAGTGGTGGTAATATTTTTTCATTCAGGATCTCATGCAGAGGAGGCCTATACAGTCAACGTATGTGCATTTTGTGTGCATGTCATTGGTTATCATGGTTAGGAAGGAAACTACTGTGACAGAAGGCTGTCCATCCAGTCCCTGAAAGGAAGAACAGCCAACCAGCTGTTTCATTCCTGAGCCTATTGGAGTTCTGCTCCATCATCCAACCACCTTTCAGAGAAGGAAAACGTCTCAGATGTCAGTTTAGATCTGCCTCATCAAGAGAGCAGACAAGTTAAAGGGTAGTTTTGCCTTGTAGTGTGGCAGAGTGGTTTAACCTCTGGGAGAGGACAGAGTACCTGGTTGTGATGCCTGTCTCTAGTGATGAGCAGAGCTTGTACCATTTAGGTTGGCAGTTGGGAAAGGGCATGCTAGTGCAGGTGGAATCCTGTGTGTGTGTGTGTGTGTGTGTGTGTGTGTGTGTAAGGATCCAACCTGGTGGACAGACAGTGAAAGACCTGTTAGTAACCACAACTGCTAAAGGAGTTTCAAATCACACTCTGAAGCTCACATTTAAGTGCCTGGGCCAGGCTTCTCCTGGACTGTCTGGAGATCTGTGCTGCTGAACTGGTATTTTAAAACAACCTGTGTATATATAGATATATAAATATATATCTATATAGATACATAGATACAAATCTTGTTTGTTATATTTCCATATAACTTCCTCACCACAAAAACGTACCTCACAGTGCACATTTTGTCTGCTTATAGCATGCAGTTTTGCTATCCAATGCATGCAAATAGGCAGTTTTCAAGACATAAAAGTGCACATTTGTAAAAGTTCTAACTGTACTGTATTTTATTTTAAAACATTCTACCTGTGTCACTTGTTAACTCATTTTTTTGTTATCTGTTGTTCCACATTGCACTTTTATGTTAAGTTTCAATACTGTAACAGTTAAAAATAGTTGCATTCTTAAATTGTACAGGTTCCCAAATGTGTTTTATGTTTTAAAAAAATGGCGGGGTCAATTTGATCCCATTTATGTTTTTGTGGGGTTTTGATGTTTTCAATTAGGGGTATTTTGACCCTGATTCCAAATTTTATTCTCTTTTTTTTGCTGAAGGAAGTTAGTCTTGAGGCCTGATTTTTTTTCATAGTACCTGCTGCCATGATTGAGAGAACTTCAGGTTCCCATTAATTTTGCTGTAATTTAGGGTCCAAAGTAGTATAGTCATTTTTTTTAACCTTGGAAGGGTTAAGCACAAACAAATAGGTTTACTGTATACAAAATAGAGTAAAAGAAGTAATAATGTGAAGAACCTACATTAGGCCCATGAGAACTAATTCCCTAAGCAACTACACACAACAACAACATGAAGAGGGCACTCGTATATAAGGAAGGAGGGAGGAAACGGGGAACTTTTAGAAAAGGGACGTACTACTTGAAGTCCTGGGCTTGAGGTCTGGAGAGGTCCAAGGTGCAGAGGGAGGAGGAAAAAAGGGAGCCTGCAATGTATTTACAGGGTTGTTCAGATATGCCAGGACATTCCAGCTTTGGAAAGTCTTTTGTTATTGAGAATGAAATGAAGTCTTTATTGTTATCGAGAACCCTGAGCTGGGGGGACATTGCACTTAATCAGTCTGTGATGCCAGCACATCCTTTCCTTCCTATCCCCCAGAATTTCTAATATCATGGCTGAACTTTATGAGACTCTACAAGTTTCAGACCCCCTTGGCATTTAGGCTGTAAAAGGGGGTGCCTATTTAAACAACTAAGTCCAGAATAAGAGGGTGACCCCACTAACCAAGGGGATCTCAGCTGGAGGAGGGGCAGGGTCCTTACACCCTCGGTTAATTTATAGGAGCCTGTCATAACTACTTTAAAAATTGGAACCGGGGGAAAAAGCATGCCTCGGGATGACATTTACTACAACGATTTATTTTTATAATATGCTGTAAATTTCAATCAAGCCTCAGGTGTGTTCTGACATTACCTTTGTATTATGGCTTCTTCATACTCCAGTAAAGGAATATTGGACCCCCTATCCACAAGGAAGGAGCCTATAATGCATTTTCTTGCCATGCCAGCACTACCAGTTTGGTGTAGTGGTTAAGTGTGCGGACTCTAATCTGGGAGAACTGGGTTTGATTCCCCACTCC